GGGCGTGCACTGCACCGTCGGGCGCCCGAGTTGGGCTTTTGGGTTTTAAACCCTTTTTTTTTTTTTTTTTTAAATCAATTTTTTTACGTTTTTTTCAGGACGATACGTCTACAATTGAAGTTGATCATACCGATTATTTTACCACTACTCAGTTGTTTGACTCGAAGGATGAGGTAGTGGTTTGGGTGAGGTTCGTTGCAAGAGGTCTTTTTGTGAAAATAGTAAAAAGAAGCAGTCCTAAAAAAAGATTTTTTTGACTTGTGACCTATACGGGGGAAAACGAGAATGTCCATCAACTAACCCAGACGCGCGCCCGAGAAGGACCCGGTAACAAAAAAATAGGCTGTGGTTTTCACATTGTCGGAGAGCTACGATGGGATGATAGATGGGAGGTCAGAGTAGTATACGGGAAGCATAATCATGTTCCGATATACAAGTCCGGGCATGGGATGAGTGCATTGTCTCAGGAGGAGGCGAAGATCATTAGTGATCTGTCACAAAGTCATGTGCCGCCCAAGAAGATTTTGGCTAACTTGAGACAAAATGGTTTGGGTCTCGATGCTTATTCGAAACAAATATACAATGAGAAGGCGAAATTGAAAAGACTATCTAGGGGTGACCGTACAGTAATGCAACATTTGATTGGGTTGCTTGAGGAGCATAACTATTACAAGTGGTTCCGTACTGATGAAACAACACATTCAGTTATTGATTTGATGTGGGCTCACCCTCAATCTGTCGAATTGTTAAGTAAGTTTCCGTACGCTTTACTACTTGACAGCACTTACAAAACCAATCAGTACAAATTGCCTTTGTTGGAGATTGTTGGTGTGTTGTTGTTACTCCTGTCGGGAAAAATTTTACTGTTGCAGTCGCATTTTTGCGCCATGAAAATGAAGACCATTACACATGGGTGTTGCAAAAGCTGAAGAGACTTTCCCCCCCTCAGACTCTACCTAGTGCCATCGTGACTGATCGAGAGTTAGGGCTCATAAAGGCGCTAGAGAATGTATTTCCGACCGTACCTCATCTCTTATGTCTTTGGCACATTAACATGAATGTGGGGCGTCGTGCTTCAAGATGTCTCGGCAATAGTAGGCGTCGTGGCACGGCTTTTGTACTTGGTACGTGGCAAACTTTGGTAAAATCAGTGTGTGAAGAAGATTTCGCCAGGAATTACACAGCTTTGACGGACGAGTACGCGAATTATCCAGATTTGATTGAGTATCTCCAAGACACTTGGCTCGTATACAAAGAGAAATTTGTAAAAGCATGGACGGATCTAATTTTCCATTTGGGTAATACATCGACAAGCAGGTATTTATTTATAAGTGGTTAAATATATATACTTAACTTAATGTCATGTTGTTTATTAAAACATAGCATATTCTAAACATATTAGGGTGGAGAGCAACCATAGAGCATTGAAGAGATGGTTGGAATCGTCCACGGGTGGCTTCGACACATTTTGGGCACAGTATCACTCACAGATGAAAGATCAATTTAACGAGATACTAGCCGATTTTGCAAAATCAAAGAGGATTCGGGCCCAGACGATCAACGTGCCCGTATTTAAAATATTGTCCAGTGGAATTGTAACACATAATGCTCTGCAGATGTTGGACGATGAGAAGGATGAAGACATAGACGGTTGCGTCTGTTATATGAGGAAATGTCTTGGACTCCCATGCAGACATGAAATTCGTGCAAAGATGAATGCACGACGTGGTGTGTTTTATGCAGAGGATGTCCTCATTTTTTGGAGGACATTTATTTCGGGATTCGGGGATTCCCTAGATGAAAGTGTTGGTTCTGTTCCCGACCACAGGTCACAGGCTATTGGCAGGCTAGAAGGGTTAATGAATGATTTGCGTGAGCGGTCAGAAATTGAGATCACGGACGTGACAGATGTCATTTTTGAACGAATGCATCCCGGGGCTATGGAAATGAATGAGCCACGAGTACTAGACTGCCCGAGAGGTAGACCGCGGACGAACTCTACACAGAGGGATCTGTCAGGGCATGAGTTTCCATTATATCCGAGAGAAGGTGAAGAGTCTGGACGAGGACGAGGACGAGGACGATCACGAGGCAACAGTGGGAAAAAATCTGCTCTGACCTTCGATCCACTCTTATCCACGAACAACAACTTTCCGAGCAAGTATGCAATATATGCTCGTACCCGATAAACGGAAGGAAATGTAGAATTGTCGCCATACTTCACCTCCAAATCATCTAACCGGGGTCCGCCACCATACCACCACTGCTCCATAAGTGCGGGGTCGACCCCGAAAGCTCTCGCACCAAGCTGGATCGCGTCGGCCTTATCCATCCAAACGTTAGGGCGAATTCCACTAACTCGCAAACCCATGATGAAATGCACGTCGTGGAGGGTAATTGTCATCTCACCGAATGGCATGTGAAAACTGTTGGTGTCTGGCTGCCACCTCTCAATAAAAGCCTCTATTAGTGGGTTATTGTGCTGAGGCAGCGAACAATCACGCAAGTGATACAAGCCCGTACTCTCCAGTAGTGAGACCCAATCATCGTCGTCGGGGCCCGGCCAAGTACACTTCGCGTGCGACCGTAATTTAACCATATGTCGACCCTGTTCAAGATATATTCATATATAAGTATACCACAAGCAAGTGTAAATATTATAAACAAAATTTATTAATATTAATAAGTATTACCTTTCCCTCCCAAATGTCGTAGGCAATATGTGCTCCAAAACTTGGAATCAAGTGAGCGTATTTAGGTCCACCGGGTGTCTCACCGGTCAACATCCAAGGTCGAGAAGGAAGTTTTTTTCTCGGAGCGGTGCGGGACCTCGAGACAGGATTAGAACCACCGAAAGTACCACCCATCGGGACAGGAGGCGGAGTCGGAGTCGGAACATCCTCGTAATCGTCATCGGATGGAAAATTCGGCACCGGAAACTGATACTTCTGCTGAAAGCGTAGTTGTGGATCGTACTCGTACTCCTGCGGATGCATATATGCATCCATGGGTGCATCCATCTCCTGCTCGGCCTCTGTCTCTGTCTCCTCCTCAATCATCGTACGTGGGGGTACAAAAGCACCAGTGCGTCCCCACGACGTTTAGAACCGGTAACATTTCTATTATGTGTCCTTCCCTCACGTTTCGCAGTAGTCTCCTCCACGGATCTGCAGGAGGACGAATCAGGGGTCTTTTCCCTTTTTCCAGTTCGAATTTTTCGCCAATTAGACGTCTGTAACTAAAAATATATATTTCATTGAATTAACTAAATTATATTAAAT